AGACAGAGATAAGACAGACAAAGACAGAGAGACCAAGGAACGGAAAGAAGCGGCCCCAAAAGGAAAACATGAAGCCAACTTCGTACATGAACTCATTCTGCGACAGTCAGAACAAACATGAAGAAATATGGGCCATCGGTCCATGTCGGTCTGTACAAGAGTTAGACTTTATATATATATATTATATATATATGTATAATATTTATAGGTATATATACTTTGGGTATAGAAAAAGTAACAGCATAATTTACATAGAGAAAGCTTTTTTTACAATTGAGAATTTTCCTAAGGTCAGTAACTTTGAGAGTAATCAACCAGATGAATCATGCGGTAAGTGCGTGGAGTGGACCCCAGTGCAAGATCAAAGCCCAGGGAGATGGAAATGAAAGGCTGAGGGTGGGACTTGACCGCCCAAGTGGGATGTTCTCAGCCTGGCCCAGCCATGGGCAAGGGCACTCACCTGGTGTGACCAGACTCATCTGGCCCCAGTGCACACCCTTGGCTTCTGTCTTGGGGCCTTGGAGGGTGCTGGTATTGCCGGAGGCTCTCCAGCTCCCTAAGGTTGAGCCTCTGCCCTATGAATGCTGACCCCCACAGCAGCGGTGGGGGGGTGTGCCCTTATGAGATGTGGGCATCCCTCCCCATGTCCACCAGGGCACCAACATCTAAGAAAATGGGTAACACCTACCATCTCTCTATTCCAGTCCTTCATCTTTTCAGGAACAACCCCCTGGAGGTGGAATTCCCGGGAAAGCTACAGTTGGGTCATGGAGAAGAGAAACCACATTTACTGAGCACCTACAGTGTGCCAGGTATTGTGTGATGCTACTGACATTCCTTACTTCATGTACTCTCTCCAATACCCTTGAAGGTTAGGGATATACTAAGCGCTCGTGGGCTGCACGAAGCTAAGAAAATCCAAGGAATGCTTGGGGGAACCGCTGGCACTGAGAAATTGATGGTGAGGTCATTATTCACGATCGAGTGTGGCTTATGAAATACATGTTGAGTCACAATGAAGCAGGTGAACAAGCCCTGATAATTTACAGCAACATACACACACACACACACACACACACACACACACACACACACACCTGGGAGTCCTATGGTCGGCAAAGATACTAAGTTTCCCATCCTTCAAGCCCTGACACATATTTATAGCGACAATGGCACACACCATCCCACCAAGAGGGTTGATACATTTTCTCCACACTTCAGGCTGCATTGCAGACTTGGCCCATGGCCCACTATGACCTCTACATCTTCTTAAGCCACCTGGTAACAAACCAGTATTTTGCCCATCACACCTGTCATGTTTAGTTGGAGACCCTTAGAGTAGGGTCTTTCCATCAATAAATTTCCATGTTCATGCATGTCCTTGACCTCAACAGCCCAGTGGCCTATGAACAGGGGGACATAAACTCTCCAGAAAAGAGGCCATGGTGAGACAGCCGAGGGAGGTTTTCTGGTGTAGCAAGACAGACATATGGGCCTCAGAGAGCAGAGACACAGGTCGCAAGAGGAGGTAGAGGGAGAGTGAAGCAGAAGCAAAGACAGGGAGGAAAATGCCTTAAAGAGAAGGGCTGATGGCCAATCCATCTATAGAAGTGATATCCATGAGTCCTACCCAATGCAAGGGCACTAAGAAACAGAGACATTGTGTGGAGGCAGGCAGCAAAAGAGCCTGAGAGAGAGAGAGAGAGATGCAGAGAGAGTCCGAGGCAGCCTAAGTACTGGCCTGATCCAGCAAGCACAAACCCACCTGAGACATCTTCTTTCCCAGGACAAGGCCAATAAGCTGGACCAGGCATGATGTTCGGGGAGAAGTCAAGGTCTCCACATCTGAGCCAGGGCACCTTCTGTTTGGGGGTGGAATTTCCCAGGGTCTCGCATCAGGGTTGTGGGAAATCAAGGGAGGGCAGAGCTAGTGCCTAGGGGCAGGCTTTCAATATATCATCACCTTGCCTCTGAGCCTGCACATGGGCTATTCCTTCCACTTGGCACACTGTTCCCTACCACTCACTCCTATTTGACTCAAATCTCAAGACAAGGTTCTGGAGTCCCCTCCTCTGAGAAACTTCTCCTGAGGGCACTTGTTGGGGATGGGTGATCCTCTGGGGCTTCAGGACACCTGTCAGAACTTCTCTATCTCATCCACTGGACTCAGGCTCCCTGAAGGTAGGGGGCACTTTTCTTCCTCATTTTTTCCCAGAAGCACAGGAAGAACTGACTAACTATTTATTGGATGAGTATATGAGCTGAAGTCTTGGGGAATGAAGGGATACATGTTGCCTGAGCTCTGCTGGGGGTGTAGCAGGTGTGGTTGGGGACATGAGCTTTTTTTTTTTTTTTTTAATAGATCTTTATTGGAGTGTAATTGCTTCACAATGCTGTGTTAGTTTCTGTTGCACAACAAAGCGAATCAGCCATAGGCATACACATGTCCCCATATCCCCTCCCTCTTGCGTCTCCCTCCCACCCTCCCTACCCCACCCCTCTAGGTGGACACAAAGCACTGAGCTCGAATGGATAAAGAAGATGTGGCACATATATACAATGGAATATTACTCAGCCATAAATAGAAACGAAATTGAGCTATTTGTAATGAGGTGGATAGACCTAGAGTCTGTCATACAGAGTGAAGTAAGTCAGAAAGAGAAAGACAAATACCGTATGCTAACACATATATATGGAATTTAAGAAAAAAAATGTCATGAAGAACCTAGGGCTAAGATGGGAATAAAGACACAGACCTACTAGAGAATGGACTTGAGGACACGGGAAGGGGGAAGGGTGAGCTTTGACAAAGCGAGAGAGAGGCATGGACATATATACACTACCAAACGTAAGGTAGATAGCTAGTGGGAAGCAGCCGCATAGCACAGGGAGATCAGCTCGGTGCTTTGTGACCACCTAGGGGGTGGGATAGGGAGGGTGGGAGGGAGACGCAAGAGGGAAGAGATATGGGGATATATGTATACGTATAACTGACTCACTTTGTTATAAAGCAGAAACTAACACACCATTGTAAAGCAATTATACCCCAATAAAGATGTTAAAAAAAAAACAACAAAAAACAAAGCACGGAGCTCATCTCCCTGTGCTCTGTGGCTGCTTCCCACCAGCTATCTGTTTTACATTCTGTAGTGTATATATGTCGATGCTGCCCTCACTTGCCCCAGCTTGCCTCTCCCCACTCACTCGTGTCCTCAAGTCCATTCTCTATGGCTACCTCTTTATTCCTGTCCTGCCTCTAGGTTCATTAGAACTTTTTTTTTTTTTTTTTAGATTCCATATATATGCGTTAGCATACGGTATTTGTTTCTCTCTTTCTGACTTCCTTCACTCTGTATGACAGACTCTAGGGGGGACATGAGCTTTTAAAATACGGGGGAGACTTTCTTCGACTACTTCAGCTGCCCAGTGGGAGGCATTTTAGATCCACCAAAGGGCCACAAGGTAGGAGCTACAGCGGTTCTAGGGGACCATGATGTGGAAGCGATGCCCATGGGATATGGGAGCCCACGGGGATTTGGGGAGCCCATGGTGGGATAAAGGCTACCAACTGGATGACAGCTAGGGAAGGGGAGTCAGAGAAGCTTGGGTGATACTATGCCTGACACCATTCAGGCATCCAACCTCTGTGCTCCAAGGCCTGGCGCTTTATATTCTGGACAGCAAGGCCAGGATGTGTGCATGGAGGAAGGGAAACAACAATCTACGGCATTCCCTGGGGTGGGGGGGGCACCAGGGCCTCGGTGGAGGAAAGTCTGATGAGAAAGAGTAGGGAGGAACCGAGAAAAGCATTCAGGCATCTCACAGTTGTGCCCAGGCCTGGCCAAGGGCTCCCATGCTAGCCACGGCCCCTCCCTTAATGGCCCAGCCGGGCCAGCACCCAGCTGGCTGCTGGGATTTGCAGGGGCGCTGAGGCGGCACTCCGTGGCAGGTGGGCGGGGGTGGGAGGTCCTTGGTGTGGCAGGACAAGTACATTAGGGCAGCCTGATGTCTACACTGTAGCTACACAGCAGTTACGTGAACTTACACGAGTTTATATGTACCCATTTTATTAGTAGTCGTAGTAGCAACACAGATAGAAAATAAACAGAGAAAATGGCTACAATCTTGGAGGACCAATGCATTGCATTCATTGTCCGGGACGCACTTAAGCTGCCACTGCCCCAACCCGGGCAGGGCTCGGGGTGGGGGGAGAGGTTGACCCACCAGGGAACGGCACCCCAGTCGACTCAGCATCCTTCTTGGAAGGTGCTGGACTGAGTGTCCCCAATTCCCAAAACAACTTTCCCAGCCCCAGTCCTTTGCGATGCCGGACTTCCTCATTCCCCCCATCCTGGGACTGCCGGAACCCCCAGGATCTGATTGTAGGGGTGAAGCAGCAGGACCTACAGAGCTCGTCCACACCCACTGCCTGCCTCCATCCCCAAATCAGCCACGCGGGATGGGACTGAACAGCCACCTCTTGTCCACACCGTCCGTTTTATTGCTTCGTCCCCACAAGAGATAGCTCTCATAACTCTCTTCTCCACACTTAACTAGGGATTGGAAGGAGGGTGGAGAGGCCCCCGGATATCTGGAGACTCTCCTTCCGGGGGAAGACAGAGGGGACTTCCCTGAGTAGCCCCTGAGAGCAGCTCTGGGGTTGCCTGATGCAAGTGGTAAGATTTCTGTTCAATAAGAGGCTTTACTTCAGTAAGAGGATGGAGCGGGCGACCGCAGAAGGAATGGGGGAGGATGTGGCAGGGAGAGCCAGGCACCGGGTGGGTGACCTGTGGCTCATTTCCTAGCCCATGAGCTGGGATTGTAGACCTTGCCTTGTCCATGTAGCTGATGACAGGCAAGTCAACCTCCTCCTCGCCTAGGCAGCCTTCCAACCACTGAAGATGCTAAATATTGCTTTAAAACCCACTTCCGTGCCACAGTTACTGAAGGAGGCCCCACCTTGAGTTTTCCTGTTTACCTCTGTCTGATTTCTTTTTTTCTTTCATGAAAGGTTGCAGATGGCAGGAGGCTGGATGTGGGTCCTAGTGATGTGGCTGGTGACAGTGTACTCAAGACCTCATGCCTTGGCTCAAACGAGCGAGAATCAGATGGTGACACTGTACCCCTTAAAAGCTCCCAGTGCTTTCCCGCTGCCCTTAGGAGACCTTTGAGATGCTCCTATTACCCGGCCCCAAGCTCAGTTCATCCACTGTCCACCCTGTCCATCCCCTCCCGCCTCCTGCCATGCCTCAGCCTAGAATGGTGTTTTCAAATGGGGGTGGGGGGGCGGAGGGTGATTCTACCCCCCAGGGGACATTTGCAATGTCCGAGACATCTTTGGTTGTCACAACTCAGGGGTGGCAGGAAAGGGGGGTGCTACCAGCATCTAGTGGATGGAGGCCAGGGATGCTGCTCAACATGCAACAGGGCACAGGATGCCCTGCCCACAACACAAATGATCTGGTCCCAAATATCAACAGTGCTGAGGCTGGGAGATCCTGACCTAGAACTGTCATCTCTTCCTCCTTCTCGTCCTTTAGATCTCATCTGAAATCTCACCTCCTAGGAAAGACCTTTGCCAACTGTTCCCTCCACAGTAGTCTCCCCTCCCCACATCTCATGTTACTGGTCCCCCATTCGGGGGCTATGTGAGTGGTAATTTATAGATTGTTGTTGGCCAGATTCTTGTCTATCTGCTCCACTGGACTCTAAGCTTCAGAACGGGAAGACTTTGTTTCCCTTATCACTGAATGCCCAGGGTCTACAAATGTAGTAGATGCTCAATAAATAACCCACCGAATACATGGCGGATGAAGAAATAACCCCACAGAATTCTGAACTGACCCAGCCGTCGGCATCCGTCAAAAGCTCATCTCCCACCTTGACCAGCCCATTGCTCACCACTTCAGAACAGGCTTCTCTGCCTCCTCCTGTCTGCCTGTGTTTTTTTCCCCTGCTATCCTGGCACCAGTCTTTCCAAAATTCTCACTCTAAGTGCTGGAGGTCAGGGTAATTTTAAACTAGAAGAACTAGCCTAGCTGGTCTTTTTTTCTTAAGTGGTGGAAAAGAAAAACTAAGATTTGTTTTTAATCGTTAGACTTTCAAATCTAAGAAGGCAGGATGCAAATAGCATGTTGGCATAAACAATGGCTGCCCAGTCAGTGGAGGGAGGGAGCCGTTCTTCTGAGCTAATTTAAGCTAAATACATGGCGGTTATTTTTCATCTCTACTATTGTGTAACTTTCTCCTCTGTTCACGGTCCAGGGGAGATGTTATCTGGTAGGAGTCGGTGGTGGTGGAAGATAAAGGGAGGAAGGAAAGGAAGAGGTAGCAGACGGAAAGTACTCTCAGCCACCAAGCTGGTTATTAAAAGCCTTTCAAGAGCTCAGGAGTAGAGCTGGTGGTCCACTAGGACCCAAGGGAATTTTATCTGGGTGAAAACTCGATTTTGAGCCTTCCACACAGGGAAGAAACCAAAAAACAACTGGAGTCAGGTTTCCTTTCTGCCCCTCTATAGGCAACATCCCGTATCTTCAGAGATGTCCAGATTGAACCACAGAAACTTTTACAAACTGCCTCAAGTGAAGAAACATCCCTCCCACTCACGTACACACTGTATTTCCTTAAGGTCCCCGGGCCTTCCAGCCCCTGGTACGAGGCTGGGGGTGGCAGTCAGGCCTTGAGGGGAAGCTGTTCCCTGGAAGATAAATGATTTCTCTCCAAGCAAACACATTACCACACAGGATCATATGCAAGGTGTTACAGACAGAATCTTTCTTTCGGTATTTTCCAAGTTGCCTGACTGATAATAAAGCTCTGCGGGGCCCTTCGACACCATCTACCAGTTACAGACAAGACGTCAAATGATTAGGCTTCTGGAAGTTTCTGAGGCCTTAGTTCTAAATCTGCCTCTGCCTCTAAGAAGGGACCTAGCTTGGAAGAGTTTACCTTCTTTTCTCTGGGCCTGAGTTCTTTCTCCTGTGAAAGGAGAGGCATGAGATCAGGCTGGCTACTCGCATCCACGTGAAGTGGCAAGGCATGCTGTGATTGATTAGCAATGTCTGCCAAGAGTATAGGAGGGGCAGTGGTAGCAGAAATGTCACATATTTGTACTCCTTGGACTAGGTCATCCTTCTAGATCTTCTAAATATAGATCATTCTAGATCTTCACTGCAATGACCTGGCTGAAGATAAAAATTCAGGTCAAGACCTAGCTGGCCCCTATGAGGGTATGATGTCCTCTGTTAGTCTCTGAACGATGGTATGTTGGGGAAGTCACCGACACACAGCACATTTGACCCCTCCATTGGAAGACATGATCAGCCAGAATTTTCCTTTGTGGTGTCCTTGTGCATGGAACCACACTGTCCTCTTGCACAGAACGGGGTCATCCTTCAGCAGGCCTGGGTAGGGAATGTGAGGTGGCAGGGGCAAGGTTCAAGTTTTCTGGGGCTCAGGAGCAGCCTGTGGTCACCCCCCCAGCCACATCTCTCTGCCTAATGCATCTTGTTCAGCTTCTAGGTTCATTGCTCACAGTGCCAGCCTCCAGGGGAGGTGGGGCTGGACGGGGTCGATCTACCTGTCCTGGCTCCTAGCAGGTGGTGGGTAAATGCTGGGGATCAGCTGTCCTCTTCTGTGGGCTGGCACCTGCTCTCAGAATACCGTGTAAGACGTTGAGTTGAATTCACAGAGGTTCATCTTGTTGGGGATTCAGAAACCAGCCTGGGGAAGCTTAGGAAGAGAGCAGCCTGCTGGTGGCCTTTTACAGGTTTAACTACATGGTAGTGTCTTAAAAGCTCTGGTAAGTCCTGCAATCGAGAATTAAGTTCAACCTTGTTCTGCCTAAGCATGTCCGATGCTTATTTGTCCCAGAACCCTTCCAATAATGCAACGTCCATCTAGTCTGCTATGGAATTAAAGGTCTATGCAACACAATTGGTAAACTGTGTTGATCCGGGGTCAACCTGGATCAGGCAAGCTCCGGGCAAAGCCCATTTCCTCCAGTTTGGCCCTCAATAGAGGGACAGCAGCCATCTCATCCCATGACGAGAAATCCTTCATATTCTGGGTGTTAGGAAAAGGGGCAGTAGGATCCCAGTGGTCAGTGTGACCGTTGAGAGGGAGGAGGACCCACTGGTGAGCCTCCTGGGACAGAGGCCCACAGTTAAATATTAAGTACAGGAGAGGGAGAGGGCTCAGCTGACGGTACAGGCTGCTCGGCGCAGGGGTGCTGGAGGAACCCAGGAGTGGCTTTACCAACCCAGATGCCCATTTCCTGGAAACGGGCAGCTCCTGGCAGCCTGTCAGTCTGGGACTGTAAGTGGGAGCTTCCGTGCAAACTCCCATGAGGGTCCCCACCCTTCCCTGCATCTTCCCTCTCTCCTGGTTATGAGCTACAGATAACAGCACAGGTGTGGACTGTAACATCCCGATGGGCAGCTGGGCATATACCACTCAAGATGGAGGTGGGTTCCTGGGAACGAACAAGCCCAAAGAATCACATTTAAAATGTTGGCTCTACCACTTCACAGGCTCGTTACGTCTCCTTCCCACAGTTTCTTCGCCTGTGAAATGCGGATAATGGTACCTACTTCCCAGGACCGTCCAGTCATGGGGATTCAGTTGGCCTGGCACATAGTAAGTGCTCATTGAAGAGTGGCTGTTACAGATACATCATTACTCTGCCTCCCAGGGCCTAGGTACCCTGGGACACCTGTCCCAATGTGCCTCTTTATGAGTCATGACCGTTGAATCTGGCAAATTCATTTGGAGTGACATGGGAGCCACAACACAGGACCCGGTTATGGGAATCCCATTACTGCCCAGCCCTGCCAGTGGAGCCCCCTGGCTGCAGGGAAGGATGTCTGACCCCCATGCCAGGGCCTCGCTCTGACCCAGCAGCCCTCCACCCCGGCATTCTGCAAACATTTATTGAGTACCTACTACTTGCCAGGCGCTATGCTCGGTGCTGGCGCGTAGGTAAACTGAGGAAGTCGGGGAGACTGAAGGTCTCCCACCAACCTTCTGCCCCAGCTGGTTAACAGGATGGGCGTGGACAGTATGCTCTTGAGAGGGTAGTCAGTGACAGGAGAGAAATGAGGCCGCCGAGGCATGCCCTCGGGAGAGTCAGGAAGAAACTTCCAGACACGGGGTTCCCACATTCCCGGGTCCAGGCTGACATATGCTGCATCTCATCCCTCTCCGAGGTCAGGACTATTACCTTACGGGCGACGGCTGGGCTGGGGGGCGTAAGGTGGGGCTGGGGGCCAGGGAGAGCATGCCCCTGCGCCTGCTCAAAGCCTTCCTCACTTCACAGGCAAAGCCAAAAGAGGACACAGCAAAAGCGCGACTCACCGAGGTCTGTTCCTTTGCCGCTGAGTGAGAATATAAATAAAAGCAAGCATCGTGTCACCAGCCCTTTCAGGCTGGGCTGAAGCGCATTCATCCAATGGTCAAGCGACTGTCCCGCTACAGATGGACCACCCACCCTCATCCATGGAGATGAAATCTGGGACTACTGGACCCCAGGGACGGAGGCGTGGGTCAGGGTGCATGTTTGACAAGAGCGGCAGCAGTGGGCCGACCCTCAGAGCCCAGGGGTCTGGGGAATCTATCTCCCAGGGGATCTGCCACGGAGGAACCAAGGTGACCAGCCAAGGCACAAGAGAAAGCTCCTTAGAGGATGTGAAGGGTTGAACTGAGCTCCCCGCGCCCACTAAAACAAAGATACATTCAAATCCTAACCCACAGTACCTCAGAATGCGACCTTATCTGGAAATAGGGTCACTACAGATGCACTGGTTAAGATAAAGTTGAACTTGAGTAGGATGGGCCCCTAATCCAATATGACTTGGTGTCCTAATGAGAAGATGGCCGTGAGAAGACAGACACACAGAAGGAGAAGGCTGTGTGACGACAGAGGCAGAGATTGGAGAGATGCGTCCGCAAGCCAAGGAATGCCTGAGATTGCCAGAAAACTGCCGGAAGTAAAGCAGCGGGCGGCCAGGAAGGACTCCCTTACGGGTGCCAGGGGGAACTTGGTCCTGCCGACACCCTGATTCTAGACTTCTAGGCTTCAGAAGCGTGAGAGCGTCCACTGTTGCTTGTGGTACTTTGCTACAGCAGCCCTAGCCGACTAGCGCAGAGGCGGAGGGGGGCTTGAGTGCATGGGTGGCATATCTGAAGCCAGACCAGCCCTCAGGGGATTGCTGGGTCAAAAGAAGGCTGGCAAGGGATGACGACAGGGAGGGCAAGTTTAGGGACTCAAGGCTGAGAACTAGCCAGTCAGGGATGGGAGTTTTGCCTCAAAAGCCCCTAAAATCAGTCTCTGAAATCCCAAGGGTCCTTGTTATGGACTGAATTGTGCACCTCCCCAGACCCCCGCCATTCATATGTTGAAGCCCTAACCTCCAGTGTGGCTGTCTTTGGAGATGGGCCCTTAAAGAGGTAATTAAGGTCAAATTAGGTCATAAGGGCAGGACCGTAATTCGATATCACTGGTGTCCTTGTAAGAGACACACCGGGCGTGTGTGCATCCAGAGGAAAGGCCACGTGAAGACACAGTGAGAGGCTGACTGTCTGCAAGCCAAGGAGAGAGGCCGCAGAAGAAACCAACCCGGACACTTGATCTTGGACTCCCAGTCTCTAGAACTGGGAGCCAATTCATTTCTGTTGTTGAAGCCCCCCTGCACCCCCCGACCCGCCGCCCTGAGACTGTGATGTTTCCTCATGGCAGCCTGAGCAGATTAGACTCTTTCAACCTCTGAGGCCCGAATTCCCTCCAGGTCCTGCACACCAAGGGGTCTCAACGTCGGCTCACGCCTCTCCCAGGACGGGGAGCTTTCTACCTTCCAAGGCAAGCCGTTAGAAAGTTCTTCCCCTGCTGGAACTTGTTCTTGGCCCCTGTAACTCCCTCCCCCTGGGTTCCTGTTCCTCCTCTGGGAACCATGTGCAAACTGGTTTTTTCTTCCTTCTGACAGTCGCCTAGATCAGAGGTCGGCAAAAGTCTTCGGTAGAGGGCAAGACTGTAAATATTCTCAGCTTGAAGGGCCACCTTGTCTCGGTTACAAGTAGCCAACTCTGTCGCAGCACAAATGAAACCAAGGCCCGTATGTAAATGAGTGGGTGTGGCTGTGAACCAACATTTGTTTATTGACATTGATATTTGAATTTCGTAGAGTTTTCACGTATCATGAGCTCTTCTGTTTTTTTCCCCAATTAAACACTGTAAAAACCACTTGGTGGGCTGGATGTAGCCCACGGGGCATAACGTGCCAACCCTAAGTCGAGATTTTTAAACATAGTGATTGGGCCTCAGTGTGTATCACTTGCTTCCTGTTCCTTAGACGATCAGTCACAGGCGAGGACAAGAACTGTGGGTGGTGACGAGTGGGACGGGATGTGTGCACATGGGTTGGAAGGTGGAAAGGCGGCAGACCAGGGTTTCCCAGATACAGGAGTCTAGTCTCCAGAGATCAATCCAGGGCTTCTAATGACGCAGAATCCAAGGTAGAAATAAAGGAGGACTCCATGGCAAGACAAGATTTTTCTTTTTGACCAGCAAAGGGAAAACGATGCCAAAACAATTAAGTGGAGACTTCGATTTCCAGTTCACTCTGGGGATGGTGACGTGTGGAGATGTCCCCACATAAGGTCCCCCTGCAAGGGGACTCCCCGTTTTATGAAAGACCTGTGACCAGGAAGAGCTGGTGGGAATTCAGTGTGCAAATCCACATGCCTTTGAAAGAAGGCAAGGTCAAGGCTCCCTAGTGAATCTCTACCCTGTGGACTGGTCCATCTGGGAAGCCTGTGTACCTAAGGGTTTGCTGAAAGCAGGGCGGAGACAGAGGCAGCTCGCTGCTGGGCGCCGGGCACCTGCACACAATCTGTGCTGTGGATTCTACAGAATGAGCCAATTGTGGGCTGGCAACTACGGTGTAAATATACACACCACCTTTTTTTTCCCCTTGCAAAAGATGAATGAACATGGCCTCCTCCCAGGGCTTCAGTGAATAAGGACTGAGGTCAGCAGGGAAAGCGGTGGTTTGGTTCCTTCTGGATCAAAATGTCTGCAAATAAAAGCTGGCTTCTAAACAATTCAGGGTGGTGCAGCTGGAGGGCGGTGGCTTCTAAACAATTCAGGGTGGTGCAGCTGGAGGGCGGTGCGGGGGTGGGCTGGACTGGCTACAGCGGAGACTGAGGAAGGAGGGAACAAAGTAAAGACCTGCGAAAAGAGGGAGGCGGCAAGGCGAGAGCAGGTGACGTGGGACCCTGTTCTGCAGGCAGAGAAACTCCAAAGGCGCAGGGGAAGCTGGGGTTTCTCCCTGGGTCCCTCAGGCTCCGCCCCTAACCTCAAGCTGGTGCTTGTGAACAAATGGAAAAATCAGCCTGTGGAGATGCTGCTGGGCCCTGCCAAAGGCTCTGGGTGGCCCTGTTAGTTGATTCTGGAAACAACGGAGGCAAGAGGGAGTGGGCTGCAGCTTCCGGGAGCTGACCTTGTCTGCTCATCCCCTTGCTTATTTCCCCCCCCACCCCGCACACACAGAGGTCCATGATAAAGACTGGGGTCCACGGACCCAAGAAGTCTGATTGGGCTAAAGAGATGTGAGACCCTCAGGAGGCCCCGGCTCAGGCCTGGGGCGGGTTCGCTGGGTGACCTGCCTTAACAGCGTGGCGGCCGCTGACAAGAGCTGCCCGCAGCGACAGCAAAGCAGCTGGGGCTTGTGCAAACACGTGTCAACGCCTCCAGACACGCAAATGACGGGCTGAGGGCCACAGTGACAGATGCCCCAGAAGAGGAATGTTTAGGAATGGCCCACATGGAGGCCTGGAGCCTCTGGTCCCAGGCAGGTGGGAGCATTGGGAAAGTAACCAGGAAGGCCTTCTGGGGTTTCCCTCAGCCAGGGTCTCGGGAAGCATGACCGCTGTCATCATTTTTCCCAGTTTGGAAGCAGGCTTGGCCCCCCAGAGCGTGAACCAAAGTGGGGAAGATCCCCGTATCTCTGGTTGGACGTTGAGTCTGAGCCCAGGTGGGTTTTTGAAGTCGGAGGTCCCCTCTCTTTGAGGGAGACATCTAGATAAGGTGGCGACCAGAAGCAAGGCTGGGCAGTGCCCAAGAAGTACGGCGGGACTGTGGGCAGAGCCTGGGCCTCCTGCCTAATGCCCAGCCGTCCTGCTAGCGCCCTGCTGGGGGGCAGATTTCCCTCGGATGCCTGGTCAGGTGAATGGGGTCCAGGGTTTGGGGAACGTAAGACATTCCCTTGTCAGGTAAGGAACGTAAGACGGAGGCTCTCCCTGTCATTCTGCACCTGACTTGCTCCCAGCGACCCCCGTGCAGAACACTGGACCCTGGTGTGGTTACAGCAAGAGCAGCTGGGCCAGGTGGGGAGTGAAGGTGAGGGATGGAAGGCAGGGGCGCTGAGCGTGCAGAGGCGTCGAACGGGGAGCCGCTCTGCGGTTCGGCACCAGCTGGAGCTGAAAATGCAGAACCCCGACAAAGAGCTGCCCTCCTCGCCTCCCCAGTTGGACTTTTTAAGGGTGAAGCAGCAGGAGTGCGGGAGGGGTCATTTGCAAACAAGATGCCGTGCACACGCCCTGTAACCCAACACACACACCGAACCCAACGACCCATCTCCATCATGGTGGTGGATAAACTTAGCTGGTGTAAGTGCCAGGGCAGAGGGAGGGAAAAAGAATGTCCTAGAACTTCCCCCTCCCAGAACCCCAGTTCCCAAGGCTCAGACCTCAGGGGGCCGTCATGGATGAAGGTGAGCTGGAAGGAGCCCCCTGAAGTCATCTTGGCCAGGGAGCCACTGTGCTTTCCAAATGGAAGTGGGGGGCAGCGAGGAAGAAAGGGGACGAGGCTGTCACAGAACGGAGAGGGCAGCGGAAACGGGGAAGCATAGCCCAGAGAGACCCAGAGCGCAAAAGACATGCACTTCGGAGCGATACGCAGAGGTGCCCAAACCTTGACAGGCTTGGGGTGGGGGGGCCTCCGAGAACAGATGTTTGCACAGGAACAGCTGAGCTTCCCGCCCAGATCTCGGCCCCGTAGCCTCCACTAAGCGCGCGCTCAGCTCTGCATCCCCGTCCCGTCTTTCCAGAGAGCGCAGCTGGAACCCACCACGCAGACACCGAAACAGCTGATGGGCGCTCAGCCCCGGACCTGGGGCAGCCTGACTCCCGTCATCAAGGGCAATTGAGAGCGGACGGTGTCGCGCACGTAGACACACACGCACACACAGACCGGTCCTGTGAGCCTGCCCGCGTGGGACCCCTGCCCTAGCCTCCACGGCCCAGGGGCTCCACATCCAGCCCAAAGTTCTCTTGTCTACACCGTCCCCTGGGCCTCACTGATCAACTCTGCATCTCCCTGGCTGGTCCCATGAAGTCCTGGCTCGGGGTCCCCACCCCTGCCCGAGCGAAGGCGTGGGTCTGGGGTGCAGGGAAGCTGCCGGGCTCAGTCGTGCAGCGCTCCCAGGCCGGCCGGGGTCGGTACCCTCTGACGGTGAGCCTCTGGCCTCCTGAGCTGGCAGAGGGCAGAGCAGGGGAGGAGAGGTGGCTTGGGAGCTGAGGCAGCTGAGCGCTGTCCCTTTGTCCAGTGGTCACAGCCTGGAGCACGGAGAGAAGGGAGAGAGTGGCAAGAGGTCACACGGGTACGACAACGCCATCTTTTGTGAATTAGCGCCCTCTCGGAGGTCAGGTGGTCTGAGATGAGCTGTTCCCACCCTCCACAAGAAAAGGCGGAGGTCCTACTATGCGCTGGGCTCTGTGCCAAGCAACTCACATACCTGATCTCGTTTAAACCTGAGGATAGCCTGCAAGAAAGGCACATTACACCGCATTTACAGATGAGGCTCAGAGAGGTTAGGTGTTTTGTCCAAGGGTGCACAGCCAGGAAGCAGCAGGCTCTTCTCACTGGAGCATGTAGCTTCTGGACTAGGATGGTCACCCAGCTGTGAGCTGGGTTGAGGCCACGTGGAACCGGAACACCAGCCCATGTGCCATGTGGGGTTGCTGAGAATGCTCAGTAAGGGATGGAGATAAAGGAAGCGGAGGTGAGAAAAGACCCACACCATAGACTCCAGCTGTGGGTGGAGGCTTTGCTGACTACCGTTGAGCCAGGATCTGGGCTGTCAGGGGCAGAATTTATGCCCACTCTCCCAGGATGGTTCTAGAAAGACAGGCAGTCTTTGCCTAGAAGGCAGCAGAATGGAGGGGTCAAGATCATGGATTTAGGGTCCAGACCCATCTGGGTTCCAATATTTGCTCTGCTCCTTACTAGCTATGTGACCTGTGAATAGGCACTTAACCTCTCTGTGCCTCCTCTGGGGGTACCAGACTACCTCTTAGGGAGGCCCTGGGGATTCAGTGAGATAATGCAGGCAGAATGCTTGACACGGCACCTATCACACACGTGTTTAATAAGTGGTACCCAGATGATGGAGGTCGTGCTGGTGGTCGTGGTGATGAAAAAAACTGGAAGCAGGGACTTGAACAGACACTTATACACCAATGTTCACAGCAACACTATTCACAATAGCCAAAAGGTGCAAACAAACCAAGCCTCCGTCAACAGATGAATGAACAAACAAAACGTGGTATAGACTTACAACGGAATATCACTCAGCCGTAAAAAGGAATGATGGTCTAATGATATATGCTACACTGTGGATGAAACTTGAAAACATGCTGAGTAAAAGAAGCCAAACACAAAAGGATAAATATTGTATGCGGCCACTTATATGGAGCATGTAGAACAGGTAAATTCATACAGACAGAACGTAGATGAACGATTAGGGGTTAGGGAGAGGAGGGATTAACCATTATTTCCTTTCTCCTGAGTCTCTGAAATTTAGTGTAGATTTTCTACTCAAAGCCCATCTCAATCTAGACTCACCCCCTTCAAGTGTTCAATAGCCCCAGTTGGTATGTGGCTGTTTTGGGACAACACAGGCCCAAAGGGTGGTCCATGGACCAGCAGTGTCGGCATCACCTTGGAAATGCAAGATCTTGGGCCCCTCCCCAGACATACAGAATGAGAATCCGCATTTTAACAAAGTCCCTAGGTGATATGAATGCATATTAAATTTTGAGATGCACCGCTCTGGAAGGCAGGCTTGCCTCAGCCTTGCCTCCAGCTCACCACGTGCTAAGCCACACTGGGATTCTAGAAATGCCAGGTCCTCTGATGGAGCCATGGAGGGGCAAACCCAAGATCCCAGAGGCGAGTTTCGAGTTAGCGGCTCTCCTCCTGGGAACGTGCCAGCTGCACCTGAGACCTCTTGGTTGGTCCCCTGTGCAGATTACAAAGCCCTAGACAGGACCCAGATCCTGGGCCTACCGTAGCCAAGCCCTCCCCCAATCCACCGCCGACCCAGGCGGTTTCTGAAAGGACCACAGCAGCAGAGTGACCGTCTCAAAGCCGTCGAGTATGAGTGAAGAGCCTAGAGGGGCTGATGTTGTGGGGAGAGCAAACTCTAGACTGGGGAGTTGGGACCTGACCTGTGTCCCCAGCTTTGTCACCAACACCCCATGCAGATGTGGGTGAGTTGCTGAATGTCTCTGGGCCACGGTTTCTCCATGTGTAAAAGAAGGAGGCTGGATAAATCTGGAACGGCCAGGAAAGGCATCCACGCACTGATTCTAAGTAACTGCTGATGAGTGCCAGTGAGTGATGGCAGAAGCACTGTGATAGATTAGTCATGTCTGCCGTGGGTACAGGAATAGGACACAGACACCTTGCCCGTCTATCGTCCGTGAAATAGGTACACCCCAGGACTTTTCTACTTTGATGAACGGCTGACATGTAGGGCTTGGTGGGTTCAGGGTACCACCTCACCGTGTGATGCTCAGACTTACTGGGGCATCAACCTTCACCAGGAGGAAACAGGCAATGAGGCAGCCATGGTAGCCACGGGGATCCAGGCCCTGTACGGCAGCCTCTAGGACCCAAATTGCAGAGGAGATTCCCCTGAACAGAAACACGGTGGGGAAGGGTGGTACGCTGGGGAGGGAGGTGGGTACGCGGAAAGGAGACGGTTGGCAGAGGAGCTGGAGAGGGGAGCAAAAAGGTGACAAAGGCCAGAGGACAGGGCAGTGGGGAGAGATGCTAAGGGGTAACACTTACTCTGCAGACTTCCAGAAATGTCCAGGGTGAGACAGGCGGCGGTTCCGCTTTGGCAGCTTCTCCAGCATGTCCATAAGCTTGGTGAAGGTAGGTCTCTCTTCTTGTTCAAAGGCCCAGCAGAAGAGAAGAATGTCCTAAAAGAAACCAAGATGGTGATTTAACGTAACTAGTAACTTCTTGATTACTCCTTGACATCTCCTTGGATTTGTCTGTTTGTCTACCCATTTGTTCCACTGCCAGATTCCTCCATCATCCATCCATCCATCCACCCACCCATCCATCTATCCACCCACCCATCCATCTATCTGTTCATCTCAGTTCATGTATATATCCTTCATCTATCATCCAGCCATGCATCACTCATCCATTGCAACATCCATCCTTTTACTCATCCACTTTCTGAGCCTATATAGCAAACTAGGTAAATCCTATTATAGAAGGTCTGGGATACATTGAAATCAATAATGCTCCCCAAGGAGTTTCTTGGCATTTTTCTCAAAAAGGAGGGAGAAAAGGGAATCCTGAAGCTTCTATCCACATCCTAATATTATAAGCGCCCTTAAAGTCACAGACAGGAAAATTACTCTTAGTAATTGCCTCACTTGAGAAAGGAAATCTAGAGACAGGTAATCCTTAAAAACATACCGGATAATTATGCCTTCCCTGCCACATCTATCTTCTGATCAAAACAGGATTCTTCCTGATGTGTTTTACAGGATGATTACTAATTTATACTCAGGCTTCTCTGTTTCCACATGTCTTGTTCTGAGTTGGATAATGCCTTAAAAATTTTATGTAGATCCAAATAAAATTAGAATCATTAATACCAGTGATATCTTTTTTTTTTTTTTTTTTTTAGTACGTGGGCCTCTCACTGTTGTGGCCTCTCCCGTTGCGGAGCACAGGCTCCGGACGCGCAGGCTCAGCGGCCATGGCTCACGGGCCCAGCCGCTCCGCGGCATGTGGGATCCTCCCGGACCGGGGCACGAACCTGTGTCCCCTACATCGGCAGGCGGACTCTCAACCACTGCGCCACCAGGGAAGCCCCTACCACTGATATCTTAATGTATGTCTTTAAAAAATAACAGAAAAAGAGGGATTCACTGGTTCTACTAGGCTCAGCAATCCCTTGCTAGGAAAAACCTGGCCAAGTGTTACTGTGCCTTGATAGTAGGAACCGGAATTGCAGGCACAGCTCAAAAGCTTTGCCTTCTAAGCTCCAAATGATCACCTGACGAGTCTGTGCGCAGGCTTTTTTGTCACCCTCCAGGAAAGCGTTTGCAACCTTATTAACATGCAGGAAAAAGAAGGCCCAGAATTGTGTCTGCTTCTCCCCTCATCCCCCAGACCTGGCACTATCCCGGGACTTACCGAGATTTCTTTTCCCATGCCAATCTGGCTGAGGTTGGGTTTCATGCCTGTGCCCATTTGCCAGATTATTGCCTCTGCTGGTTGGGTCTTGAAAGGCCACTCTCTGGCGTGGAGTTCATACCAGATTGTCCTGTTGGCAGACATTGTTAAAGGGTGTGATACGTCCCTTGCAACTCTGTGTCCCCTTACCAACGTGCGCCCACCCAGTCAGCCTGCTGGCTAACCACTCTGGCCCCCTAGTTTCTGCCTCACAGGGCGGGTGTTCTGCTACCTAAGATGTACATAAAGCTTTGTCAATGTCTTAGAAGTCATGCTTATCCCAGGATATCTTCTCTGGTGCCTGAATTAAAATGAATCAAAAGCTAGAACCTGAACAGTCTAATATAATACGGCTAGGATCTCTGACCCCATGCCTGTAATTTTAGGAAACTACTGTAAGGGGAATATAAGGGATACAGACAAAAACTCAATGACAAGGATCTTCTGTACACCATTATATAGAACACTGAAAAAAGTAGCAATAACACAATTGTTCAATAACAAGAATTGATACTTCCTAACACCATACACACACAAAAAACTCAAAATGGATTAAAGACCTAAATGTAAGGCCAGACACTATAAAACTCTTAGAGGAAAACATAGGCAGAACACTCTATGACATAAATCACAGCAAGATCCTTTTTGACCCACCTGCTAGAGAAATGGAAATAAAAACAAAAATTAACAAATGGGACCTAATGAAACTTAAAAGCTTTTGCACAACAAAGGAAACCATAAACAAGACAAAAAGGCAACCCTCAGAATGGGAGAAAATATTTGCAAATGAAGCAACTGACAAAGGATTAATCTCCAAAATTTACAAGCAGCTCATGCAGCTCAATAACTAAAAAACAAACAACCCAATCCTAAAATGGGCAGAAGACCTAAATAGACATTTCTCCAAAGAAGATATACAGATTGCCAACAAACACATGAAAGGATGCTCAACATCATTAATCATTAGAGAAATGCAAATCAAAACCACAATGAGGTATCACCTCACACTGGTCAGAGGGGCCAATCATCAAAAAATCTACAAACAACAAATGCTGGAGAGGGTGTGGAGAAAAGGGAATCCTCCTGCACTGTTGGTGGGAATGTGAATTGATACAGCCACTATGGAGAACAGTATGGAGATTCCTTAAAAAACTAAAAATAGAACTACCATGTGACCCAGCCATCCCACTACTGGGCATATACCCTGAGAAAACCATAATTCAAAAAGAGTCATGTACCACAATGTTCATTGCAGCTCTATTTACAATAGCCAGGACATGGAAACAACCTAAGTGTCCATCGACAGATGAATGGATAAAGAAGATGTGGCACATATATAAAATGGAATATTACTCAGCCATAAAAAGGAATGCAAGTGAGTTACTTGTAGTGAGGTGGATGGACCTAGAGTCTGTCATACAGAGTGAAGTAAGTCAGAAAGAGAAAAACAAATACCGTACGCTAACACATATATATGGAATCTAGAGAAATGGTACTGATGAACCTAGTGGAGGGCAGGAATAAAGACCCTGATGTAGAGAACGGACTTGAGGTCATGGGGGGAGGGGGAGGCTGGGACGCAGTGAGAGAGCAGCATTGACATATACACACTACCAAATGTAAAATAGCAATGGGAAGCAGCCGCATAGCACAGGGAGATCAGCTCAGTGCTTTGTGACGACCTTGGGGGGTGGGATAGGGAGGGTGGGAGGAAGGCTCAAGCGGGAGGGGATATGGGGATATATGTACACATATAGCTGATTCATTTTGTTGTACGGCAGAAACTAACGTCACATTGTAAAGCAATTATACTCCAATAAAGATTAAAAAAATAACAAGAACTGGTTACATGTATTATGGTAAATCCATAAACTAAGATATTTATTATTATTATAACATTTCAAAGAAATTTTGCTGACATAAAAATGCTCAAAATATAATTTTAAGTGAAAAAAACAGGACACAAAACTGTATATAAGGTATGTTATGCTTTTTAAATACCACTATATATGTATGGACAAGAGAATAAGAGCAACACAGCAAAATGTTAACAAGGGCTCCCTCTCAGTGATAGAAAGGACAGAATTTTTTTTCTATTATATTTGTGTTTTCTGAGAAGGAAACTTCCTTTGAAATAGTGGAAAGAAAAAAAAACAACAATCTGAGGGTCAGACTGCTTTGGGTTCAAGTCCTGATTCTATTCTATGCTAGTAACATGTCACTGGGTAGGTTGCTTCCCTTCTGAATCCAGGTTTCCCTACTTGCCAAATGAGAATGATGATAAAACTGCAGTGGAAGAATGTTTATCTGGGAGGCTGAATGCCAGAACAACTCGATGCTGGAATTATTCTAGAGAGGTCGACTATGTTATCGTCTGTTTCATAAATCACGACGTCGTAATGATGGAAGAAACGACTGCCTGCTGCAGTGAGCGGCACGTGGGGACGGATGGGGAGATGGGCTGGGCAGTGCCTAAGTGATGCTGGGAGGTGTGGGCGGCAGTGAGGACCATGGTGCATGTGTCGGGGTGTTCAGAGGATGCTGGGGTGTCACTGAGCTGTACGGTGGGGATAGGTCTCAACTCACTGAGAAGATTCCCCAACTCAGGGACTAACTGAAACCATCCTAGGAAATGATCTTTCTTCTAACCTAAGATAATTTATGTAAATTTGCTTTAAAGAACACGAAGCACTCAGTTACCCTTTTTACTGATAGAGGACTGTATCAAACCAGCTATTTCTAGGGTTCCGCCTCTCAGCATCTTCTCATCCCTCTGGGGCGAGGAGGGGTGGTGATGCTCAGGTGTTGGGATGTTGAGTTAGGTGGTCAGGAAGTTCTCAAGTTACGTGCTGGATGATTCTAGTTCATCATAAACAATAACACTGATTGAGTTTTCACTCTGTACTAGACACTAATCTTAGGCTTTTGTATTTACTATGATTATGGGGGAGGTGTATTAGCATGCCTTTTATTCTGATGTTCTGCTATCTGGGGCCTTGCTGACCCTGGCGGGACTGCCCCTCTCAGGGCTAGCCAATTCCTAGAGATAGTAAAGGACTGACCTGTAAGTGTGCTTTTCATATGCAAACTAAACAATCCAAAGTCCTCCACCATCCCTCCATCTCCGCTATCAGGCTCAGGGCCAATATTCACCTTCCCTACTCAGGACAGCCCCCATACCCCAGAGCCCACTGCAATTAGTTAAACTAGCGAATGCTAAGCCTGCTTACCCTGCCTCGCCGCTTCCTTCCCGAGAAAACCACAATAACGGCTCTTGCCCACATTTTCTTCCTGCTCCCTCTGCCTCCTGACTGACCCTGGTGTTTCCCCGTGTGGCCCTGCGTGGTATGATGTGCCCTCTCCTTCTGGGGACTGTGAATAACAAACTATCCAGTGGTAGTTGTTTCCTGATCTATTGGCCTCATCAAACCCGAATAATAATAAAACCCACATTTTAAACAAGATTTTTAAATCTATTATCAGCTCCATTTTACAGCTGGGGAAACTGAGGCTCACAAAGGTTACATACCTTACCCAGGGTCATACAGCAAAATAAGAGGTATAGCCAGAGCTGAAGCCATCTGCCTACAGAATTACACCACTGGCCATTATGCTATACTGAGAAACCTACACTCCATCCCATTTGAGGGTCCTTTGTAATTGGGGCAGTGAACTATTTGGGAGGGCAACCCTCTAGTTGATGGTTGGGGCCTAGTGAAGGAGGCACCCACAGAGTGTAGGCACCACTCACGTGAAGGGGGGAAGGGAGCCTATCAGGAGCTTGGCCTTGTGCTGTGTGCCTTACAGGTGTTTTCTCATTCAATCCTTAGAACATCTCAATGGGCTTTATTATCTTTGACTTATGGCTGAGGGAAGTAGGGCTTTGAGTGCTGAAATGACTCTCAAGCCTGGGGGCTCTGTGGTTAAAAGCTCCAACCCTGGGGTCGGGATGTCCCAAGTTTGACTCCCAGCTTCACTGCTAATTACCATAAGGCAAGTCACTAAGCCACTCGGAACCTCAGTTTCCTCATCTGTCAATTGGGAACAATGGTACCTGCTTCAAAGTGTGCTTCTGAAGATGCCATGAGACAGCACCCACCACAAGCTTAACACGGTGCTCAGTACACTTTTAAAAGTCCATTTTTGTTCTAAGTCATGCCCCAGCATGATGTTCCCAAGCAACAAGATGCACCTAATTGGCAGGAAACCAGGAGCACCAGGCCCCTCGGAATTCAGCAGTGTCAGGAATAAAAGCCTCATTAAAACTCCTTTTCAAACCTAACTTTCAAGAGAAACTCGCTTGAAGGGGAAAAAAATTGCTAAAGATTAAAACTGCAGTGGAAAACCAATTACTTACTTTGGTACATTTTGTTAATTACATTCTTTTTTCTTTTGCTAAATTGATAGTAAAATATACCAACTTAATTATTGCAATTTGGTTTCAGATAACAATATCTAACTAGATAAAGATTTGGGCATAAACTAAGCAGGGCAAGTGACAGCCTCTTAAGGGGCCCAAGTGACAGATGGCGAGAATACTGATGTGCCAGCAAACACTGCCCCCACCCCGATTTATAGACAGCACGCAGCAGGGGTGCTTTTCCGGGCAAGATATTCTCTGTAACATCTCTTGGTGGCGCTAAATCTAACTGCACACATCTGCAAGCCTCCAACTTTCCCAAGCAGCTTTCCCAGCTTATCTCTGCCAGTCCATGTAACCGCCCCCACGGTCGAGGTAAGGTGAGGATTAGCATGGCCACCTGAGGGACAGGCGCACGGAAGCCTTCCTGCTGTACCTTCTCAGAGCGTCTGGATCTGCATCTCAGGGCTGTGCCCTGGACCCTCTCTCCCTCCTCTGTACTTTCAAAGACACCTCATCCCCTCCCACGGCTGCAGTTACTCTCTTTGCCGCCAAGTCCTGAACTCTTCTTTCCCAAACTTAAAATGTGTAGATTCAGCCGCCTTCTGGTTGCTTCCCTCGGCTGTCTCCAAGGTAGCTCAAACTGTGTCCAAATCTGCTCGCTCTGCCTTCCTGGCATGGCCCAGCCCTGCCCCACCTCCAGGGTCTCTACTTTGGTGAATGGCACCACTGTCTGCTAAGCTGCTTCAGGCAGATATCTGGCATCACCCACATTTAAACCAACGATCGAGCCCTATCACTTCCACCCCCAAAATGCTGCTTCTTATGTCCAATCCCAGCTTTCACACCCACTGGCACTGATTCAGCAGAGGATCGCAGCATCTCCCCCTTGCGTTGGTCAACTGGCCCCAATCTCGTCCTTCTCCTTTCCGTTTTCAACACAGTAGTGATTGTTCTAAAGCTCAGAGTGTGATTATGTGCTCAATACACTTTTAAAAGTCACTCTCCTGCTCAATAACCATCAGTGGCTCCCTACTGCCCTGAAGATGAAAACTCCTTAACTCAGCCTCTAGGTCCCTGCAGAATGCCTTCTTTCCTCTCTAGTCCCTCATCTCACCACCCCAGGCTCATTTTTTCCTGATTCTCCATCCATCAGCTTCGTCTTCTTCCCTCCACTCCTGCTCCCCACATATTCCTCCATTGTGGGCAATTTGTTCTTTTTCACCCTTGTTGCTTTTCATGTGCTCCTTCTATCTGGAACACTTCACCTTACCCTCACCTGGACTACTTACACTCAATCTTTAACACAGGCTCAGGAGTCACCTCCTCCAGGAAGCTCTCTCTGATCTCCCAGGTTGGATTTAGTTCCTCCTTTCTTCCCACAGTCCTGTGTTTATCCCCAGCATAGCACTTATCACAGAATTTTGTAAAAAAACTGTTTCCTTGTCTGTCTTCCACCAGACAAGAGAGAATAGGGACCTATGGTGGTTTTAAAATGTCCACAAATTGTTTGATACTCCTTCCTGTAAAAAGTGGAGCTTAATTCCCCTCCCCATGATTTGCTGACTTGCTTCTAACAAACAGAATATGGTAGAAGTGACGATGTACAATTTATGCGACTAAGTCATAAAGGCAATGCAGCTTCTTGCCGCCGTGTTGTGAGGTCACTCAAGCAGCCTTTGGAAAGGTCTGTGTGGTGAGGAACTGAGGCCTCCTGCCAACAGCCATGTGAGCAGGCCACCTTGGAAATGGATCCTCAGCCTGTCAAACCTTCAGATGAGACCTCAGCCCTGGCCAACATCTTGACTGCAGCCTAATGCAAGATCCTGAGCCAGTTCAGAACCACGCCCAAATTCCTGGCCACAGAAACTTGAGATAATAAAGGTCGTTTTAAGCCACTAAGTTTTTGACAATTTGTTAAGAACAGGCACCCAGTAAATAGCTATTGCATGAATGAATGAATGAATCAGGTAACTTGCCATGGTCACACAACCAGTTAGAAACCAGGCATGAAGGTTTGCTAGGGTCTCTCTACTACAGCCCACTCAGATCCCCCCTAACTCACCCAGAAATCCAGCCACCTTTTCCTCCGCAGACAGATGCCCTGTCCCTTCCAGAAGCACTAAGGGAATGTTTTGGGAAGTGCCCCTCTGCCCAGGCTGGGGCTCTCAAAAGCCAGGGTGGGCCACCTACCCAAGCGCAAAGACGTCCGAGTGTTTGGAGAAGGGGAGCTTGTCTTCCTCTGTGTCGGGAGACAGCTGACGGATGATCTCCGGGGCCAAGTGGCACAGCCAGCCGCTCTGGATGCGCAGCTTGTCATCACGCCTGGAGAGGCAAAGCACAGTGAGCCCCGTTTCACAGCCCAGGGAGGACCAGCCCTCCATCACGGACCCCAAGTCCCTGGACCATCTCTGCTGGCTTTCTTGTGTTCCTCCCCCATCCCTAGCCCCCCATCAAGCACTGCCTGACCTTGTACTTGAGGCCAAGACTCAGTGGGAGGTGCAGGAAAGGCTGATCTGGAGAGAGACACCCAACACCCAAACAGTCATCGTGTCCCTTCGCCTCTGAGGCGCCCCCTTCTCCATCTTCATTTAACAAATACAGCCGATTCTTGTTATTCGTGGTGCTTATGTTCTATAAAGTCTCAGCAAACACTGAATTAGTGAAAACTGAGTTTTTGCTCCTGGAGGAAATGTATATATACACACGCATGCACACATCTCAAAAAGATTATAATCTTAAATCCTAAAAACAATTCATCCTAGTCTATTTTATTTTACACAAGAGAAAATGAGGCTCAGAAGTATTACGTGATTTGCCCTGAGGCTGCCCCACTACCAGGGGGCAGAATTGCAAAACCCATCCAACTGGCCCCAGAGCTGGAGCTGCTTGCCCTGCACTGCACCATCCCATCTCCATCCTCTGGTCATCGCTGATGAGAGCTGAAACAAAACTGCACAGCATCCTCTCCTTGGACCTCAGCTGGGAGCATGTGCATCAGTTGACTCAAGTTTTTCACCACCCTGTACATGTCCACGAATGACTGTGAATGTGCCGCGAGTATTGATTTGGGGGTTACAAATACATTTTAGCGAGTAGGTGAATTTGCAGATATGGAATCCGCGAATAATGAGGACCGGCTGTATTTATGAGCACCCACTCTGCCTAGGCTCTGTTCTCTGCACTGGGACCACAGCAGTGAACAAGATTGACAAAGTCCCTGCCCTCCTGGAGCTTGTACTTTGGTAGGGGAAAGTGATGACAAATGAATTATCTAAATAGGAAAGATTAAAATAGGAGAATGTGTCAAAGATAAGAGGGAGCTTACTTTAGGTAAAATGTGAGCTAAGATTTTCATGACATAAAGGATCCAGCCATGAGAACAAGGAGAAGCGTATTCCAGGCAAGAGATCATGACATAAAGGATCCAGCCATGCGAACAAGGAGAAGAGTATGCCAGGCAGGAGAGAAGTTAGGACAAAGGCCCAAGGCAGGCCCTCTTTGGGGCGTTCTAGAAACCCCAAGAACATCAGTGTAGTGGGGACATATCATGCTACCCCACTGGCATGACCAGGCCCTGTGGGGTGGGGTGGGGTGGAACGCTGCTGCCCAAAGGGCAAACGTCCCTGTTCCCATCTCATCCAACAGCCCCTTCCGCCTCCTCCTGACTCACTGGGGCAGTGGAGGTTTGGAATTGTAGGGCTGGGCCAGGAAGGAGGGTGCTGGCCACTCGCTAACCATCATCCTGGGGCGGACGTGAGCACGTGCCTAGAGGGGGCTGGAAGCCAGGCCTGGCACAGACACCCTGGAGTGTCCTGTTCCCATGGTGATGGACCCATCGGTGACCAACCCAAATCATCTTCATTATGGTTATTATTATGATCAATAACAGCCTGTGGGCAACTGGCATGATACCACTGGCATCTCAAATGACACCTTTTCTGGACGATGGTAGAACAGCTGTAGGCAAGGCAATGCCGGGGACGGGCTCAGGGGAAGCTCTGGCATCTGTATGGATGTTCAGGGCGTGCTCACTTTACCGCTACCCCCACCCCTGCCCCAGGCTCGGCTGATCTCCCCTTTCTGGGCACCCAGCACTGTCAATGCCCCAAGGTCTAACTGAGGGAAGGGTAGGAAGGCAAGTAACTCCTGCTGAGTACCTCCTGTATGTCAGGCTGTCCACCCAACTTAATTCTTATGTGCCCACAATCAGGTGGATATCACCCCTGTTCTATGGGTGAGGAAATAGCCTCAAAAAGCTTAAGTGACCCTCCCAAAGCCATGGAGGTAACAAGGGAAAGAACTAACATCCGTTTGATTGCAAGTCTTTAAAACTCCAGCGACTAAACTCCTAACCACAATTCTACACGAATTCTATAGCACACCATCTGGGAACAAAGTTCTGAACTAAGCCCTATTTTCCCTCCAACAGGGAAAAAAGCACAGGAAGCCACCAATGGCTACTCCTGGGTAGCCAGACGCTGTGGATCTCTGGTTGGGAGAGATTGCTGAGGGCTCCCTGGCCTCTTGCAACACCAACTGGGTTTGCCTTGACAGCCAGGCTGGGGCACAGTGGGGGCGGGGGCGGTGTGCTGTCTGGGCGACAAGGCCAGAAGCCACCTTGCCCTTGACTTGCACTCCCTTCCTGGTTGACACTGGGCCTTCATGAATGAGCTGAAGGTCATTCCTTTTCCCTTTGCTTTCTCGTCTCCCTGTGGCTTCAGAAAACCATGAATCTAAAGGGAAAAAATCAGGGACTTCCCTGGTGGCGCAGTGGTTAAGAATCCGCCTGCCAATGCAGGGGACACGGGTTCGAGCCCTGGTCTGGGAAGATCCCACATGCCGCGGAGCAGCTAAGCCCGTGAGCCACAACTACTGAGCCCACATGCCACAACTACTGAGCCCGCGTGCCACAACTACTGAAGCCCACACTCCTAGAGCCCGTGCTCCACAACAAGAGAAGCCACCGCAATGAGAAGCCTGCGCACCGCAACAGAGTAGACCCCACTCGCCGCAACTAGAGAAAGCCTACGTGCAGCAACGAAGACCCAACGCAGCCAAAAATAAATAAATTTTAATAAATAAATAAAGGGAAAAGATCAGAGGCCCTCTGGTTTTGGGGGGAGAAGCCACTGACAAGGAGAAATCGTGTGGACCTGCCACCAGGAGGGAGGAATCTGATTTTTTTTTTCTTAAGAGCCTTGAGCTAGGTTAAAGACAACACCTGCTAACCCTCTTGTCTTGACACAAATACCTGGGCTCATAGTGATGTCACCAACTGCTTCCTCTGCCCTTGGCCTGGGGCAGTGGAAACAGGGAGGGAGCGATTCCCCAACCAGTAAACTGGAACCTAAGTGGGTTCTTGGCTTCTTGGGTTCTGACTTGATGACTCTCTCCATCTATCCACTGATCCATTTGTTAATTTCCTGTCTACTTACTTTCTTATCTTAGGGACTAGATGTAGTTTTGGAGATGAATCTCTTTGGGTGGAGTAAAATCTAAAAAAAAACCCTTAAGCTTCTGTTTGTTACTGCAACACACAGGAACAGCTAGATCGGGCTCCACCACATTTCAGAGGGTCTGACTGAGATTCAAGGTATTACAGAGCATGAACAAAATTCACTTTGTTGGGGGGCTCCTGGGTGTACCTCAAAGGGATCAGGGATTCTCCAAAGCAGCTGAAATGGAAGTACAATGACAGAAACCAGGGCTTGGGGGGTGCTGCCTTTCTGGAGAGGCATACCATTTGTTGAAAGAGGCATGATTAGAGAGAACATGCTGGGTTTAAAGTGTGTGTGTGTGTGTGTGTGTGTGTGTGTGTGTGAGTGTGTGTCGCACACACTCCAAATTAAAAGTCACAAAGGGCAGACCTTCTGAATTATGGGTTGTTTACTTGGGTTCAGGCTGCTTTTCACATGGTCAACTCAAGGTAGCTTGCTCTAGGGTGAGTGGTGGCTGAGAGTTTATTACTTAACAATAGTTAATGACCCTCCTGGGTGCTACTGAGGAGGTGTATGCAAATTAATACTAATCACAACAACTCCACAGAAGCTCCTGGCTTGGCCAGAAAGTTCGCTCGGGTTTGCCCATAAGATGGTACAGAACAACCCGAGCGAACTTTTTGGCCAAACCAGTATTCTTCGTAGTGCTCAATGTGCTCCAGGCAGTGTGCTGGATGCTTGCTGTGTGTTGTCCTATTCTACCCTCGTAACGACCCTCTGAGGCAGGAAGCATCATACCCGTCACTTTTCTTGCAGGAAAGTGAAGGCACAGTTCATAAGTGGCAGAGTCAAGTTGGGCCCCGGGTGGGTCTGACTTTAAATCCCTTGCTCTTAACTACACTCCTGCTGTACTAAAACAACGGGGTTCATAAGAAAACTTTGAGCAAGGGTGCTTGGGGGAGCCCAGCTTCCATGTGCGTGTTTGGAGTAAGGAGAGTGTCTTCCAGTGAAACTCAAGGGCAAGGGCGTTGCAGGATTGAAGGATGCTTTGTGCCCATTCAAAGGCGCCATTTCCAAGGGACTCAGAGTGTGACCTGGGCATCCGCACTGCATCATGGGCTCAGCAGCCTAGCCGCACAGCTAAGCGACCTCAGGTCCAGCATCGCGTCTAGGTCACTGAAGCCATCTGGGTGACTTCTCATCCCCTGACCGTCATCTGTCAAGAACCCCTCTGGGCCCTTCTACCACCTCTCACCTGCCAGCCTGCAGCACCCCGGAAATGCTGAAGAGCCCGAAGTCTGTGATCACCACTTTGCCGTTGTCGTAGAAGACGTTCTTGGACTTGAGGTCCTTGTGCAGGATTCCCTTGGCGTGGAGGTAGCCCATGCCCTGCAAGAAACAAGGATACAGGGAGCTGCCAGAGGACACCCATGCGCTCACTGCCAGCCTGGCTCGGGTTCACGATTCACACGCCCTGCCTTTCCACTGAAACCACACTGAACAGCTGCAGATCTGGGACCCAAATGCCAAGGTTTGCAGGTGGGGTAGAGAAGGCATGGCGAGTGGGAACAGGCAGGGTCCCCAAGATAGAAATCTGCCACCACCCTCAGATCATAGCAAAACCATCTCCATCTAAGCTCTTCTGCTTCCTGAAGAAGAAACGAAGGAAGATCTCCCCAGAGGGAGAGGGGCGGGGACAAACCTGAAAAGAGGGCCCCAGAGTAAGGAATCCCATCGGCCATCTTCTCCACTTCCATTCTGCAAAATAACTCATCTGCAGGAGACTTGTTCCTTAGATCTACTTAACCCACACAACTGCAGAATTTCACTGTGCGCCTCAGGAGACATATCACAAGGCGATAATCAAGACCATGGAGAAGGGTCTATGGGAGGTCAAGCTTAAGGGTGAAATGTCTAGATTTCTCTTTTTGCCTTAATGAGCAGTCACATCTTTATTTCTTTTTGCAGCTCAGTCCTGACACTTCCAATGGGAAATAAAAACCTGAAGACGATGGACTAATGAGGCACCCACCAGAAAACACAGGATGTTCCTGTTTGTTTTAATCCCAAACAACACCAATTTGATGCTTCCCCAGCAGCTGTGAGAGAGATGGCTTACATTCATGGGAATTCAAGGCTTCAAGGGGTAAGGGAGTCTATCAATGACAAGAGTCCCTCCCCCCGCCCTGGGTCTCTGCACACACCCAATTATCATGATGATGGGGCACCAGATGGAAACCAAACATTAGTAGACCATCCCTCATGCTTGTATCTGGCCTGGTATTGTGCAGGTCAAGTTTAATCTCTTTTAAGCCCAGACTGTTGATCTGAAGCCAGACCATGAGTCTCAGGAGGGGTCTTTCTGAGGTTCAGGGAGGAGGCCCCAGACCCTACGGTACCTTCACAATTTCTTGGGCAATCTGCCTCGTTTTGTTGACATCCAAGACGATCTTGGCATCCCTGACCACAGAATAGAGTGTCCGGCCCTTACAGAGGCTGGAAAGCAGAAGGACACAATTAATTGTTGGCAGTTGTTGCGATAAGGGCCACACACAACGGTTATTAAAAGTGACACATAGAGGGAATTCCCTAGCGGTCCAGTGGTTAGGACTCGGTGCTTTCACTGCCGGGACCCGCGTTCGATCCCTGGTTGGGGGAAAAAGATCCCGCAAGCCACGCAGCACACACACACACAAGTGACACATAGAGAGTGGGGGTGTGTGGACATGCCACTATTATGCCTGTGAGATACTAAGCCACCACAGCCTTGCACTGGACCTCAGTTTTGGTTCTGGGATTCGGGTCTGGGAGCAATTCCTCTGGGGTTCTTCAGCATCTTTATCAGCTACCCCCAGCATCCACGGACACGTGCAGAGTCTAGCCTAGCCCAGAAGCAGGTTTTGCCACGTACCGTCTAACACAGGCTCTCACAGGCAAAAATCTGCTTGTAAACTGATAACTTCTGGGGTCCTCAGACAGCACTCAGACGGCACTCTGCCGGCCCCTCGGCCCAGCTGCTCTCACTTGCCAGGATCCACTGGTGTGTGGGGAAAGTGATGAAAGACCAGCGAAGCGGTCGCTGATGTGTACTAAGTACCATCAGTGAATAATGTATTCAAGCCTTTAGACAGGGGTGTGTAAACACCAGCAACACTCCCCCAAAGCAGATGCCTGTCTGGATAGAGGGTTTTCAAACAATTTTCAGCCTCACTGAGCTCATTTCGAGGACCAGTGGTTCAAGATGAACGACAAGATGAAAAAGGACATTATACAGTGACAGTGACAGCTCATTTAATTGCCAGTGTGTTTACCCAACCTCCTCCTCTGCAATGAGCCTGGATCCTGGCGCACACAGACCAGGAACTCGATAAACAGTCCGCAAATGAGTGAGTGAATGAATCGACGAGTGAATGAATGAGTTCTAGATTCACCATAGCATTCCCCAGCCCCTAGCATCACATCTGGTTCATCACATCCAATATTGGCTGAAAGAAGAAGGAATGACATTAGGAAAGTTCATTTTCCATCTATGTCTAAATGATGGCATGGATTTTTCTTTTAATCTGTGACTTGATTGCTAAAATATTCTTGGCTTTGTATTCATTCGTTTAGTAGTTACCGAGCTCTGCTGTGGGCTTGAATTAGCTGAAATTGTGTGGTTAGAGCCAGAACTCAGGTATCAGAGGGATCTGTTTGAATCCCAGATCTGCTCTTTACTTACCATGTGTCGTTGTGTCTCTGGATGGGTTACTTAACCTCTCTGGGCCTCAGATTCCTCATCTATCAAAGGGAACTAATGATACCCACCCACAGAGTTAGTATGAGGACTGAATGAGAGAAGGAGCAGGTGGGGAGTGGAGCACACTGGTTAGAACAGGTGCCCAGAGTCAGACTGTCTTAGAACCGTGGTTTGTCAGTCAGTGGCTGTGTGACCCTGGGCAGGAGAGCTAACCTGTCTGAGCCTCAGTTTCATTATCTGTAAAACGAGGCTGACAGTTTTTGCTTTACAAGGTTTCTTAGGAGAATCACACGGAATCAGGTGTGTCAAGGTGTAGGCAACTCTCCATGCCCAACACAGTAAGTATTCGTGAAACTCTGGCTATTGTGAGAGGTGGTGAATGATCAATACAATGGTGAATATACACATACTTGTGTGCAAGTTATTAATTAATTACGTACTTATACACACATCACATCCTTCTGTCCGTCTATTACCTATCCACGTATCCACTTACCCACCATGCTACCTATAATCATCCATGATCTTCAACTGAGATTCGTTTCTTCACCTGCTTGAGGTGAGATTCCCAGGGTAGCTGACTCACAGGGAATCTGATTCGCCCGCCTGTCCAGGGTTGCCCAGTAAGTCGGCGAGGGGCAGCCATGGTGACTCAGGGCTGTCCCCGCCTTGTTGTCTCAGGCACTGGGTTTGCTACTGCTGGAGGTGAGGTGGAGGGGGGCAGTGGGCTGCACAGCCAATTAGACCACAGTGACATTTAAGTATTAGGGATGGCGGAGACGGTGGGTGGATTCCCTCCCCTGGAGACTCTGTTCTTGAGCAGCCACCTACACTCATGACAGGCCAGAGCCCAGAAGAAATATGTCCCCACTGCAGACGGCCAATCGCAACAGGCTCCAAGCCTCCCAGACTCTCAGTGTAACTGCATAGAAATTGCAGCCTCCAAATGTCCATCCCTGTCTCCTTTCCCCTGCTCACATCCTCCTTTCCAGCTGCAGCTGCTAAAGTCTTTGCTAATCTCACTACCTTATGGCATCTGGAGCCCCTGCACACACACACACACACACACACACACACACACGTACGCACAATGGCTGGTAAGATATCAACTGGTACGACCACCGCTTGGCACTTTTACTTAAGTGAAATATACAAATAAGCCATAACCAGCAATTCATCTCCTAAGTATGTATCCAGAAGGCATGCACACTCATGTTCACCTATAGACACGTACCAGAATGTACTAGAATATTCTAGAATGTTAATAGCAACCCATTCACAATAGCCCCAAACTGGAACCTACCCAAATGTTCACAGACAGAAAAATGGATAAATTATGATATATCCGTATAACAAAATATATTCATACTGGACTGTTAATAAGCAAATTACTGCTAACCGCAAACGACATGAAGTTCTAAACGTAATGTTGAGCAAAAGAAGCCACACAGGGCCTCTGTCCACAGACAAAACTGCTCCATGTGTTAGAGGTCAGCACAGCAGTGACCCTGGTGGGTGGGGAGGATGGAGAGGGGGTGGGGGAGCTGGGGGCAGGTGATGCTCTGCGTTTTGATTTGGGCGTTGGTTATATGGATGTGCATTTAGTGGAAATTAATCAGGCTGTGCCCTTAGGATCTGAACACTTTGGCAGGTACGTTATCCTTCCAAGAACAATTTACTTAAAAAAAAAAATCAGCGAGGAAAGGATGAACAATTAATCCAACAGCGCTAAGCTTTAAAATCTAAGCCAATATTGACACCCCAGGTAACTATTTCTAAACGTTTCACACAGCCCCGAGGGGCAGCATCTACAGGGGAATGAGGGGCTCCAGGCCTGGCTGTGCCTGCTCAGGTGTTTATTGGAGGCTGAGTTGAAGGTGAGGGCTGAGCTCTAAGCAGGAGCAGGCATTAGGCAGGTGTCCAGGGTGCCCAAGGCTCCAATTGTCCAGGCAAGTCAGTCCAACTATCCATGGCAACTGCTCCGAGCTTGGGGTTTCTGTGGCTAACGCCAGTGCCCTCAAAGCTGCTTGTGCCTGGGTGGTGGGGAAGGGAAGCGAGGAGAGGATGAAGGTTTACTGAGCACATGTGGGACCTTTCTCACAACCAGGCATCCTTCCCAGCATCCCTGCAGGGTCCACGTTATCACCCACCTCTTACAGGTGAGAATGTGGAGACCCAGAGGGGTGGAGGGCCTGCTCACGGGCACACGGCCATGGTGCCAGCCTGTTCCTGATCTCTCATCTCATCCATGGTGCGGGTACCCTGTTATTGGACATGATTTGGGGGCCATGAAAGAGACACACAGCCGAGGGAGCCCAAATCCCAACTCTACCATTTACTGCTTGTCGGGTGACCTCGGGAAGTGACTTCAACCTCAGCTTCCTCATCTGTAAAATGGGGACAACAGAAACAATACCAGCTAACGTGGACTGAGCCCTTTCTATGTGCCTGACACCAGCCTAAGCACAAGAGCCCCAGGAGGTGGGTGCTCTCGAGGTATTTCATTGATTCCAACGTGCATTTCCTCACATTGTAACTAACATCTCTGAAATCAGAATGTGTTTTGCATTCACTGACAGGTCACAGTTTCACGGGCACTGCCCTTCTCTCTTCATAGTACATAAAAGAAACGGCGCATATTCTAATGGACGGCATCTTTGATTTAATCAAGTTCGGGATCAGCCCCATTCCTACAGATGAGGGAACTGAGGCTCAAAGAGGTTAAGTAGAGCTGATGTGAACCCAGGCAGGCTGGCTCTAGAGTTCAGGCTCTTAACCCCCATCTTTTGTTTCTTAACAATTTTCTCAGGCCCCCAGTGAATGGTAGCTACAACATCACTACTAACATCACCTATGGCAATGAAGATTAATGAGGTCCGCAGGCCTCAGTAGCAGAGTCAGTCTGGACGTCAAGAGAAGGTGTTTCAGTGGTTTAAGGATACATTTAGTACCTCTCTAGCTTCTGGGGCAGTAGGCCCAAGCACTAGTGTACACGCAGTATCTCCCTCTGCAACAAAGATCATGTTTTTCCAAGAGGAGCAAAACTGGGGATTTTCCACCTTATCTGCAGGTCAACATCTCTTCCGACCGTGGCCCCAGGCACCTCAAATAATGCTGTTTTTGACCCCATATCTCAGGTGACACAGTAAACTCATGGCCCAGATGGCAAGGCAAATGAAAGACGTTTGATGTAAACCAGCCTAAAAGAGGCTTGTCAGAAACAATGAGATAAAACCATCTAGAGGTTTCTCTCCAGGGGCCTCTGTCCAAACTGGCTCTTTCTCCCAAAACAGCGGCTGGGAAAGAAACCTGGATGCCGTGGCAGCCGCTTCCTTTCTCTCCCGCAAACTCCTCAGCATCAAGGCCAGGGACCCAGGCCAGCGTGAATGGAATGGGAGCTGGGGGCCACCCCCTCTGAAGACCAACAGACTGGCTCTCAGCCCAGCTCTGCCCCCTGAGAGCCCACACGGCCCTGGGGACTAACTGTGCCTCCTCTGTGTCCATATCTGTAACTGTGGGTGTGGTCAACTCCATAACGGTCCCCCAAAGGTATCCACACCCCAATCCACAGAAACAGTAAACATTTACATGGCAAAAGGGACTCTGCAGCTGTGATTAAATTAAGGTTCTAGAGGTGGGGAGATTACCCTGGATGACCAGGGTGGGCCCAACATGGCATCACAAGGAGCCTTATAAAAGGGAGGCGAGAGTCACAGGAAGGTGGCAAGTGAATCGAGAGGCAGAAGAGAGGCAGAGG